ACGTGCATTTCAGGGTAAAAAAGGCTTTTCAACGCTTGAATAGTCCAGTTCCCCCGATGAAAGAAATCCCGCCGATATTCGCGAAATTTGAGTTAAACACCGAATGAAACACTTCAGCAGGACAGGTCGTGACTAGGGAGCGCTCAGCAAGCAAACCACTGTGAGGTAGGAGTCATATTCGGATATGTGAAGCTAGACGTTGGGAGGGGGAGGTCAGTCGGGAGTCGCCTAGTACTGTTGGAGTAGTGTTGGATGTTATATATAATACCACCAATCACGCCGTGCCAAGTACTCACTGCTGGCTAAAATCGCGCGCCCGCTAAATCTACCGTGGGGGTAGCTTGAAGGAGTCATACCCAACATAGCAGTGGAGAGGAGAGGAGTACTATTGGAAGACTAGATTTCATCACAGCTCTGACGTTTTCCACGCATCTTTCTCACCGACAATTTGAGATATCAAAAGCAGAAGGCGGCACGTGCTAGTCCACGAGTTGGGAGAATAAGGGCTACGGTATCGCAGCCATTCTGCGCGTCTTACGCACTCTTTGCACCATTTCACGCATGATTGATGGAGGCGCGCCCACGTCAGATCCGCGGATTTGTTTGGGTAGTCAAGTTCAGTTCCCGAAGACTATAAACAACATACGATTCGCGCTAAAGGACTTTCTTTTCTCCTTCCCTTTCTATCCTCGTAATTCCCCTGGAATGTTTGACGATTTAACGGCTTTTTATCCTTTTCTTGTTGAATTTCCGACAACGTGGGTCGAGTTCCTATTTCCTCAGTCTTACTTTCAGGTCGGTTGCGCTGAATACACGTGGGCTGTGATTAAATAGGAATTTTTTTTTTCGTCAACGATGTCTGAGTCGGTGAGCCGCGCCGACAAAACTAGCAATAGCGAAGAAAAAAGTGGGTTTTTTTAATCCTTGTTTGATCACTACTGTTTCGTGATGCGAAAGTCATCGCATGATTAATTACTTATCGGGAGAACTCACTTCACGGGGGGACGTAATAATATTCACCCTTACTTGTACTGAAATGTTACCTAAACAAATAACTTTGACAAGTAATCGTGAAGAATTCTTGGCGCTGTTCCAGTAAGGTGAAGCACTTAATGGCGGAAGATGCGAGAAAACGATTGTAAACAAGAGGGGTGGAGGTTTTTACTGAAGCCTTCGAGGAACTCCAGGATAGACGAGACAGCTTCGTTGGGCAAAAGTGCTTCACTACATTCAGACAGCGTCAGGATTCTCCACGCTATCTGTTCGTGTAATATGTTGCTCTTTTCACAGACCTTTAGTGGCCCGCACCGCAACGCCCCACCTAATTGAAAGCCTTGACATTCTGTAGCTCCAGAGGAACAGCGGCGTAGAAGTTCCGACACTAACATAGTTCCTGCTATGTATAAGCTTTGGGGAGGGTCTCGGGATATCTGTAAACCGCAGAGCCTTCCTCTCCCTTCCTTTTTTCTTCCACTTTCCTTCTTTTCCTTCTTTCCATCTCTCTTCCTTCTTCCTTGGTTCACTTCCTTGGAATGCTCGAGCAGAACATGCGATAAGAAAATACCTCTGGACCCTCGCAGCGAGGGAACATATGGTTGATAAAAGCCCATTTCGTTTGGGAAGGAAGGGATGTAAAGGCTGTTACCTGTTCCACCCTCCCTCGAAGTGCAGTTGTGCCGAAGTTCTTGTATCTGAGCACACAAAGCTTATTCCACAACTCATACTTGTTGGCGAATACCACAAAGTTTTGCGGAGGGAAAGAAAATATCATAATCGGTCATAGTTCGTCGTGCTTCGTTTTCTTCAAGTTCCTTGTTTGCATTTGTGCCATTTCCTCCCATCTACTAATCAATACTTTTTGAGCCTTACTCATGTTACTATGCACTAAACTGAAGAAAGCTGGCGCAAAGTTTGAACATTCCGCTACTTTTGCAGATCGTAATCCTCTACGGTTCCCTTTTTTTAGCTAAAAGAGTTCGAAGCTCGACGACGAAGAGAATCCGATTCGTCTCCCGTTCCTAGTGTAGCGTCAACTGCAGAACATAACGCCAACAATGGCCGCTTGTCTGTGAATAGCAACCATTCGCACAATGGTACGTTGCTTATTGTTTCTTGAGGATTTCCTAAGCGATTTGATCGTTCACCTTTGAGCTTTTCATGGTAATTCTTCACCAATACTCTACCGAGCCGTACCATACCATACAATCCGTACCATACCGACTGCGGTGCGCACCGTTCTCTTGGTGAGGCTGACGAACATTCTGATTTTAGTAAGACTGGTGTTTACTGCGTGCGGATCCATTCTTTTCGGTTTTTGTGAGAGGTGATGAGGAAGGAAACGCCAAGAAACGCGACAGCAATCGTGGGGGGGGGCGGAGGGGGGGCGGCGAGGAAGGGTTGAAAGGATTCCAGTCTATGTTAATGACATTTACCAAGCTCTCGAATCAGATATCGATCGTTCCTGAGCTGTCTATGCGGCTGCTTGATCTTGTGTATTGCGGTGGTAACGCGAAGCCTTCTTCATTTATCTTTACCAGTCGCTCGCTCGGCTGACGTCAGGCCATGCGCGGTGCCTTTGTGAGTAGCGGCTGGGACTGGTCGCCGGCGGTCGTGGCGGGCTTTGCGCGCGGCTTTCTTTCAATTATTCTGGTTTGATTCGAACTGATATTCCTCTTTTTCTGTCTGTACTCCACTTTTTCCGTGGTTGTCTGGATGAAGTGACTCTGAAGCATTTACAGATCTCGTCTGACTCTCGCCCGATCCTGAGCTCAGGCCGCCTACAATGTTTGTGCCCCACAATCCTCACCGGCGACCCTCTGCTGACCTTAATCCACTTTTCCGCTCTTCGGAGTGCTCTGGAACCGTTTTACAGACCTTTTTGTGCTGGCGGTCCGCCCCTCGAAGCAGGCTCCCCCATATGTTTTTTACCCCACAATCCTCAGCCGGCGACCCTCTGCTGGACTTATTATCCATCTTTTTTCCGCGGTATCTGGATGGTGTTGGAACGAGCTATCATAACTTTGTTGAAGGTGACCCTTGCGGATTTAGGGAAGGCTCCGCCCCACTGTGGGCGGGTCTCAACACACTTTGAGCGTGCCCTATATTCGCCGGATATTTACATTCTACACTGAGTTTTTTGCGACTTCCAAACACTCTCGCGAACCGGGTTACTGAATTTTGCGAGAAGCACCGCCCACCTTGAGTACCGCCCATTTATGGTGGTATCTGCACAAGTTAGGTCTGACGACTCGGTACTTACTAACCTTGTCCCTTTTTCTACTCCATCTTTAAGCTGTCCGGCAAGCGTGAATGTGTGAACATGTTTGCTGGGAATCCGGGGTTCTCCAACTTTCGGCTTGAGTGCTCGGCCCACTGTTGGGGGGGGGCGGGCTTCCGTACGGTCATAAGTGTGTCTGTATTCTGTGTCTCGCGTGGATGCCCTACCTATCCCCACCTTGGCCTGGACCGTCTTCCAATCGTTCTTAGGTCGAACCGAATATCCGGACAGTACAAACTTAAACAAATTCTACAAACAAAACAGCAAAAGCGAATTATAATATATTGGGGTGATTATAATGACGTTGTTCGGGTTTATGTTCAGAAGAGCATGTTGGGCACGGGTTCGCCATTCAGCCTAAATTGTAGTAGGGTGTATACTAGTGGGTAATGTGGCTGAAAGAACGCGAGTGAAAAGGCGTCAAAGTCCGGTCGAAGAAAAAGCCTCCGCTTCTCTAGTGGCTTGTAAAAATCGGATTTCGCGACGACGTTTCCCGTACGCCTCTGGCTATTAATAACCGCTACCGGAAGATATGTGCTGCATATTGCACCGTGCATATGCCTATCAGTTGCGATATGTGTATCATGTAGCATCATCGGCAAGGCTTGTCGGAGATATAAATCCCTTCGCTTCATAATTTGCTTAGCCAAATGAATGAATCACTAGCGCCGGAAGATCATCGCATTTGTGGGGCGGGCGTTTGTGGGTACGCAAAGATTGTGGCTTAATAGGGCCTTAATTAGGGCAGCACCTTCCTCGGGGAAACCGCTATGCAGCGCCTGTCCAGGGTCGCGGAATTCTATCCTGCCAGGAGTATTGATCCTAGTCGTCTTGAGGGATTTATCGTGGTCCAACTTGCCCTTCAAATCTAAACGTCATTGTAATAAAGATTATGAATCAAGAAGAACTTCGCCGTTCTCACCTTCTACAGCAAGTGTCTCAGGCCATTGGCAACGCCCAAAATTTTCCTCGGAGGCTCGCCATGATGGAGCGGTTGTTCTTTGTTAGCTGTCTCTCTCTGATTTTTAAGTCGTAGAGGATATGAGAAAAGGATGATACCAACAAGTGAGAACTCGTTCGTCCATCCAAATCTTCGCCTTTTGCGGTATAGGTGGGTTCAGCATGAGGTTTGAAATGGGTCTTCAGCAGGGTTTATGCATTTCTCCACTTTTTTAGCTCTTTTCTCTCTGTCAGGATTTGAGTCCGGCCGTCAAGTCATCATATTCTTGAAACGCGCAGCCGTACCTTAAATGTGGCTGAGTTAGCAGCACAGCGGTCCAAATTCTCAGTTGAGTATGGTCCCGAGCAATTCAGTCTTGCGACTCTCAAATCGGGCCTGAATGCGTCGATTCGGTCTTTCGTGTTTCGGCACAGCTACTACTTGCCCTCCACTTTGATATTAATGTCAGCATCAATGTATAATCATCACTAGCAATAAGTCCGTAAGGATAAAGCAGTCTCAAAGGCTAATTCTGCTTTATTCTCACGGACTATGCTTGCGCTGAGCTTGCGATAGAGATATCATTGAGCAGACGAACCGTTTTTTGATGTACGCTGAAAAGGACACTTACAGTATACTAGGTCATTTTTTGTTGTTTAATTTTGTTATTGTTGTAGTTTGTTTTGTTTTGCTAATAACATAACACGTTCTTTGATTGGGTAATGGGTATTTGATAGGGTAATTTCAGCCAATAGCTGTGAAAATCGCTTGTTCTCACCTGGCATGGTCGATGGTGGTGCTTCGGAACAGATTTATCGACAGGTTCCTTTCGGTCTATTCTTTCAATTTATCCTAATTTCATTTGCTTCTCATTTGTAGATCGATTTTATATTTTTCCTACCTTTCTTCCTTTTATGGATATTGCAGCAGGTTGGTTTTTTAGCAACCGTATGTGATAAGTGTAACGGAGGATTCCGCAACGAACTCTTCCCCTGCACTCTCAGCTTCGAATAATCCTCTCAAAAATCCTGTGATGGATGCCAGTGTTAGCAACGATAGCTCTCCGGTACTGCAGCACTCAAATAGCCATAGTGCTCAGAACGGCGCTCATTCCTCTTATAATGTTTTTGAGCAGGTTCGTTGTCTTGCAAACCATGATTGAGAGAGGGACGGGGCACACATGACAGTCATGGCCGCGCTATACGTGCCCCCTCCTTCTCGCACTACCTAGTGCGAACAACTTCTGCCCGCTCCCGAGACAAACCATTAATTGAATTTTCCAGCAAGCAACAGCAAACGTAGACTGGTCTCATCTCAAACATGAGCGCGATGCTGCTGTGGCGGCTTACGAACAAGTATCGACGCAACTCGAGCAATTGGTAAGTGAGAAATCTGTGTTCTTTATGTCCGTCTTTCTTGGAACCCTGGCCTCGTTGTATCAATTTGTAGACTTTTACGTGTGACAGGGTTTTAATGGTGGATCTATTGAAATATAATAGAATGGTTATGTCATTTCAGTGTCCTGATAGCGTTTTGGCACATGTTGTGGCCAACCTAGTCTGAAATTCGGCTTGGTGGGGGCATTTTGCTGATACTCGTCGATCACTACTAGTGCCCCCCGCGTGTACCTGTTAATTTTCGTGAAGCTATATAACGGAGTGAGCTTCATTCCCCTTGACATGAGTTTATAGGTATTACCAGGGTGAGACGTGTAATTTAACAAGGGCTAGCAAGAGAATCTAAACACGTGCGAAATCCCCCTGCGCCGAACAGCGCCCGTGGGCTCTCTCTGACCTTTTATAGCTCAATAATGTTTGAGAGTCATTGAAAGCGAGTCGTTCCGTCAGTAAAGAGCTTGTGTTATATTTTGCTGATGCCGACAGACTTAGGCTCGCGACAGCTTAAACTTCTGTTCTTTGAAACCGCCATGTGTTTTCATCACTACCTGAATTATACTGCTCGCTTTCACACATTGATCGTCAAATTTTTTGCATATTTCCAGCGAATGCACTATACTCAATTACATGCGGCGTATTCAAGCATGAGCAACAATGCAGTTCATTCCGACGCAGATAGGCAAATTCAACAGCTTCAATCAGTAAGTTATATTCCATGCAGATCTGTCGGAGTCTTTATTGCTGTTTGGTAACGTGACACCATAAACTGGTCGGCATGGACCTGTTGCGAGAGGAGAAATCGCAAGCAGGTGAAGGCAGTGGCGTCAGAGGATAGATTTCAGGATATGCAAGATAAAGCGTAACCTAGGTGGTATTACTAGTTAGTTGGCTTCTCTTTAGCATCATACCAAAGACAGTTACTTCCGAATACGGTCCTCTCCATGAGCGAGGTGAATGGGTCTGCAGCTATAGTATCATGGCACCTTCCCTGCTCATATGTCCGGGAAGGGGGCTGAAGGGGGGGGGGATGGTGATGCCGGAGTCCCATTTCCATACCTCGATCGTTCTATCCTCAGTGTGAGCATGTGCCGATACTAAGGTCAGCGGAACACGCACTCAAGGCAGAGAACAGCTAGAAGTGAAAGGGCGCAGACAAAGGGCACGTCTGGATATGGTCAGGGAAAAGGCTGGCCATGCTGCAGCTCGGGAGGAGTATGGAAATGGTACTCCAGTCCCGTTCCCGTGCACTTTCGGCCGGAGAAAACGGCGCGCTCCTACAGCCCACTCACCTCACTCATAGCAAGGAGCAACATTCAAGGATGTAAGTGTGCAGTTTGTTTTAAATTGTATCATAGCCATTTACGTCCTAAACCTATTTCCTTGACGGTCTTACATCGACTCAGGGTGCAATAATACATTTGATTTTACGGTAAAGTGTCGGGTAGACCGGCTAGGAATACTGAGCGCAGTTCCGCGCCTCGGACGCCCCGTACTGGATCGCTTGCTTGAGCTTGGAAAGATGCCAAGTACACTTGGTGGGCGAGGGAGTAGGTTTTCGAGGGGGCAGGGACTGCTGGTCGGTGAACATCATATGCGAAAAGTTGGAAATTTTAGACTGCAACTTTACAGATCAGAGCAAACGTTGGTCGACGTATTCTAATTGACCGAATCATTTCAGGGACTTTATTTTACTGAAATGTAAAATCTCTTACTTCGTGTTTTAGGCGCTTTCAGTTCTTGTCGAGGAAAAAACGTCAGTCCAATCGGAGTTGCGTAATGTGAAAAATGATCTTGAGCAGGAACGAATGCGGAATGAGAGTGTGAGTGAGCGTACTTTTCTTTAACATTTATTTCAAGACAGTTCCTGCACTTCTCTGTAAAATAGATTCGTTTAGTTGTCAGCAAACATGCAGTCCCTGCGTGGTGACGAATCGAATAAACTGCAAACTCGTTTGGTAGAGTGCGAACATCTTCTTTCTGCCCGCAGCATTGAACTTGATGGCCTCAGAAGAAGTGAAGCGAACGCCCAAGCCCAACTGCTGACTGTTCAGCATGAAAGAAGTGAGGCGCAGGTGAGTGTTACTAAGCCTATCATTAATCTAGTCAGCTTCAGTTCAGTTCTTTCGGAACGTCCGCAATTTCAATAAATGTTTACAGGCTCGTCTCAAGGTTATTGCCCGTGAAAAAGAAGTACTAGACTCAGAACTGAAGCAAACGAGGAAAGAACTCCACATGAAAGAAATCTACCTGAAGCAACTTGGTCCACAGGGAATTATGAATAATATGAGCGATGAGAACACCATTAAAGCATTACATGGTGAGTGTTTGCCAGCTGAAAAGAGATAAGCTTGCCGCTCTAGGCGCGCAATTATGGTCGTTTTTTGCATAAATCTTTCTTATTTTATTAGTGTTTTGCGGTTGATTTGGCGTGGCTGTGCTCTACTGAAGGTAGTGGGACACGTTGGCTGGGACGGACGGTCACTGCCGACGTCATGGGTGGAAGAGCGTGGCCAAACGCAGCACTTCTGCCAATGGCATTGACAGTACTGTCTGCGCCAGCCATCGCGCCCACTGCCTTTGGAAGGAGCCCACGGGAAAGGCCGCTCAAGAAGTGGCGTCTAAAGGTGGGTAAAGGTACGTGCCGGCACACGGACTTTTCTCTGGCCACTGTCTTGAGAGAAGTGATATAACTTGAATCGGGTCCCACTACAACCAACAAGCCTTTCTCGGAAGCGAGTAAATACGCCGCACTGCGCAATGTGTGAAGTACGAAGACGCCGCATTTTTAATCAGCGGGTCGTGGGTATCGTAAATGCCTCCTTTTCATCTGCTAAGAAGTTCTGATCATAACGCAGTCTTGTTTGTTCTTACTCTCGCAGTAAACAAATCAGAATGAATACGAAGGCTGAAGCTTCGTTTCTTAAGTGTCGATCAGTTGAATGAATGTTGAAGATGTCTGCTTTAGACAGAATCGATGCCCTCCAAACGCAAGTTGGAATCCTGACCAATGAAAGAGATCAGATGCATCATAACACCCAAGAACTTAGTCGCCATTACGAAATTTGTCGATTGGAATTCGCGAACACTCGTGATAAATTAGCGAGCGAGGTACGCTGTTACTCTTTCAACTACGCCAAATCTCTTTTTTTAAATATTCTCATTTCCAGCTTGGAGAAGCAGTATCTGAAAGAGATGTAGCTTTGTTACGGATCAAAGAACTGGAAGACGACCTAGCTGTCCTGTTAAAGGTGGGAGATGCCATTTGCGTCAGAGTTTTCCCGGTGTTGCTCGAAACTTTCCAAGTCGCTGCTTAGCGTACAAGCTAATTAGTATTCTCTAGCTAGTTGACTTGGCACACCGCAGCGTTAGCACGGTAAATGAAGTGAGGCCCGGTGCTGTTGCTGGGCATGTAATACCTCTCACAAACTGTTTTTCGCCGCTTGCGCAGGGATTTGCCTGTACTCAACCACTTCTCTGTTTTTACAGTTTGTTTAAAGTCATCGGATTTGTACTATTCAGGAGCAAAGCCAATATCGATCAGTTGTTCCACCTGTAAGTACGGTACCCCAGGAATCAGGTGTCATATCTTTCACTGAAGAAGATGTTAATCGTAAAGTCAACGAAGCGAAAAGACGCGCTGATGCGGAGTGGCAACAAAAGTTCGACGAAGAAGGAAAAGTAGTTGATTCTATGATGAGAAACAAGGTAAGCCGTAGTAGCCCTGAAGATCCCGTAGCGGCAGTTTACACGATGGCTGGAGCTGAGCGGTTGCCGCCAAACTCACCGATGAAAGGGCTGCGAGAGGGCTTTTCTCCACACCTCATTCAGCTTACACCAATGACGTTGGTAGCAACCACCCATCGCATGTATCGTACTAACTGCCTTAGAGATTTCATTATCATCTCATTCCAGGATCAGCTAATCTTTGAACGCGAGCAAGCGATTAGCGAACTCCAGATGCGATTGCGTTTGCTTGAAGAGCGTACTGCTGAAACACGTGCGAGTGGCTCGGTGAGTGGTGCTTTCATGTCTCAGCTGGAAAGGTTCTCGGGCGTTTGGAACAGTGATGCCCGCACGACACTGATCCGTGCTGCCTGCGCCCTTCGCAAATTGACCATGGGGAGGGGAGAAAGACCACCTATGTTGTTGAGGGGCGCAGAAGAGCAGATTTACTTGCGCCGCTCAAGTCCCACCAGCCCCTCTCGGCCAATTAGGGCAGTGTACGTTGGTTGTTTCAGCATTAGCTTGCTCATCAGAATCTCATTATTTTAAATTGTTTGACGAAATTCATGTCCCTGGAATTTAGGATCTGCTGTCACTGTCTGAACAACTGCAGAATGAGAAAGCTACCGTATCACGCGCCGTTGCTCAAAATAGGGAATTGAAGGAACAGCTGCTCGAAACGGAAGATAGGTAAGTCTGTCGAGGTTTTATAAATTGGCCGCATGCTTCAACTTGACGTGGAGATGTCTGTGAGTCTTCTGAGATATTTTTATCCCGACACAATTGTTGTCGTGCCTGTGTCCAACACAGAACAAGATGACAGTTGTCCCAGACTGGAATATTCCACGAGTAACCATTCTGTGCCATGTTCAAATGCCACGCCTACTCTGGCTCAGGGATAAGGAGTGTATACTCTAGTTCGCTGCGAACGTTTGGGCGTGTCGGCTAGTATGAGTGTGTCACCCCGTCAAAGCCATTTTACTGCCTTTTTGTTTGAAACGCGCATGCGACAAAAAGTGGTAGAAAACGAGTAATACGAAGGATATGATACAGTATTGTCACTTGCCCGCTTCAACAACTGGTGGAGAACGAGTTTGGCACCGCGCCAAACGCAGCCGCACTGACACGCCCAACCGTCCGCAGCGAACTACACTATACACGTATCCGACCGTTGTGTAACGATAGGGAGACTCAAGAGCGCAACCATCTATAGTGGCTCGAGATAAATAATCCGTCGGAGATCGCTCTTTACTAACTCCTCTGAGCCAACTGGAATGGGCTTAGTGAAGATTCTGTCTGCTCCGCGATGCTAACACTTGGCGACTGTGGTCGTCTGCGCTCTGGACCTGAGCCTGGGATAGAGAAAAGGGCAGCAATAAGCGGCTGAGTGGTCCGTCTGTAATTATAGGTGCGCCTTCCGAGAATACAACAGTTGGCTGTTTTTCCGGGTTTCATAAGGACCTTTTTCTGGTTTTTGATTAGGATTAGTTTCTCGCCTTTCGGTTGGTAGCGCTAACTGAAGAGAAGCTCCATTCCGAACTGGCCCGCCAAACAGCCGAACATCAAGTGAAGGAACTCATGAAAAGAATCGATACTGAAGTGAGTGTGAAAGTATGTTTTTCAAGAGAATGTTTCTGAAAAAACATGTTCCTTTGGGGAATACTTTTCTTTTCTATGGCTTTCAGGCTTCGCGTTCTGATACCGATTCTGCACAGCTACATTCGGCAGGTCCAAGCGATGCTCTCGAGGCGGTTTTACACCCACCTACATCGCTAGAGCCATCACGATCCACCGAAGATTGGGATGATACGGAGCGTGACCGCTCCGAAAGTGGTGCAGGTGATTGCGCTAAGCTTTTATCTTCTGCTGTTATTCTTGCCGAGACACCTAACTTAACCGCCATGTTTGTGAACCGTTAATGGTTTTGAATCCAAAGGTTTTCAGATGCGTCTCGTGAACGCGAGCAGATGCTGGAAACTCAACTAGAAATGGCTAGGCACCAGCTTGAAGAGGTGAATGCTACATGGACCTAATATATTTATATTTATTTGTTTATTTACTTATCTATTTATTTACAACATCCGTAGGACGCGCTACGAGACAAAAGACATGATTACCTGAATTACCTTTACAGCAGGGGTATAAGCAAAAAAAGTAAGTGATGAAAAGAAGAGTTCAATGCAGTCGCTGAAAATGATAAAAAAAAGAAGAAAGGAAGAGGGGAATGCTCAGCCAGATCTGAGCCCGATTTATGCTGGACAATGGAATGCGTTCACAAAATTGCGAGAAGCATAAAGTCAGAACCGAACATGTTGGAAGTAGTCATTTATCACACTCGCTTCCCATCAATCAGCTCTGATGAGGGGGTGCCATGTTGTTTTATTTTTTATTTGTTTATACCATGAATTACATTTAAATGGAGAGTGCAATCTGCTAGAAATCCCCTACTCTATTGTCTTATCTGCTCTATCCCACTACAACCCGCCTCGCAATACAGATACTTGTTGGGAAGGTTTTGGCGTGTACCAGACCTGTTTTCCCGTTTTCCACCATTTTGGCGTGTGCCAGACCTGTTTTCCACCAATGTTGGAGCGATAAGGCTGTACCATATCGTTTGTATCAGTCGTTTCCACCATTTGTTACCGCTTACCCGCTTAAATAGCTAAAGGAGAACGAGCTGGTTGCGCGCCAAACCCGGCCTCACAGACACGCTCCATGATGCTCAGCGAACGAGCTGTAAGTTCCTGGGATGTTTCTTGGAGTTATCTCAAGTGAAGACATAGATCTAGCACCGGGGTTCGAATATTGGTGGCAATTCGTGGGCTACCCTTTTTTTTCTAACCATTTCCAGCCTTGGTGCTCGAATGCATGTGACGTTGAACCCTCAGCGATTTCACAAGGAAGGGGAGCGGATGATGTGGGATGGCGAAGCGATTGAATGGGGAAGTATGTCCACATTCAAACTCATGACCACATTCAGCCTTGGATACTCGAGTACTTCACCAGAAGCGGGCTGTAGCAATAAATTCAGTAGAATTCTAACTGGCACAATTCGTCTTGGTAGGGTAGGGTATTAAGCGAAGCTAGTTTGCGCTATCTTGTGGAGACCTGTCTTTTTCCAACCTAACCATTCCGCAGCCTAACGCATTTCGGAGATTTCACTAGAGTCTTACCTGTCAATTGACATGAACTAGTGCAGCAAAAGTGGAAAATGACTTTCCTGGGCTGATTAGCGCCTTCTAGCCTCCGTCACCCTTTGACTCTATTGTGTTTCTCTCCCATATTCAGCTTCGCTTTCTCTCCCATAACAGCAAAATAGTTCTCATCCAGATTCGTGCTGATTTACGTCGCAGTCATACGCGGAATGAAGAGATGAATCAGATCTTGAGGCAAAATGCGGAAGACGAAAATCAGAATTCGATTCATGTAGAGCTCGGTCAAGCTGTTGCACGGATACATGAATTGGCAGCTGAGAATCAGCAGCTGCGAGAGGTACGATTAAGTTTCCTAAGCAATAGTCGTTTTCTTTTTTTATGTGTAATGCATTTCAAAAGGGAACTCTCCCATTCGACGCTGCAGCGTCTGGCAGTTGACAAGCTTACGACCGCACTGGGCTCGTTTATTGTTAGGATAATCCGCCATTCCCCCTTGACTTCATTTTTTACTATGTACTCAACGACGTTCTGAACAGTAACTATCGGGTATGCTTCTGACACTCTTTCTACGGTAGTTACGGTAGTCTCTGATCAATCTTTCACCCATCCAACCAGCTCTAGTGAAGATGGAATAATCCTTCCTGTTCTCATTCCTGAAAATATAAAATCCTGAGGCAAAAAGCTGATCGTATAATGAAGCATGTTGAGGAAACGATTTTTGAATCATTTGTGGTCTGACAGGCTATGTAAAAAATGAGCCGGAAGTTATGCGATCGCAGAAGCGCGGCTTAAATCTGTAGGCAGCATGGAAGTGTTCCGAACTTTGTGAAATAAAAGCCAGAGTCTTCGCCGTTGATCAATCCCTTCCTGAGCACGCATTCAACTTCTATTCAGGAACGTACTGGCTTAGTGAATGCTTTGTCGCCTTTACAATGACTTGCGGGGGCCAGAAGGGGTATGTGGCAAGAGAATCGTAATTCGCCGCGCCAGTGGCCGTCGCGTGCGACGTCGCGCCCGCTAATGACGACGATTTTAGGTGGTATTGGTCGAGAATAGACAATGTATGACCAAAAATAGACATAAGTGCCTACCATGTCCTTGTCTACATGAAATTCCAGTGCCGAAGCGGCATTTTGCGATGCTCTAGCCCGTCTCCCGGCGAGAAGATGTATAAGTCAGTATTCTTAAACTACCTGACAAATCTGGTGTCAGATTACGAATCGGAGGGTAGAAGGCTTGGTTAACCTGGGCGGGACTCGACGCGGAATTCGAACGCAGGATAGCGCGAGTTGTGAGCGCGCTGCTTGTCCCCAATTTTGTGTAGTACTTCGTAATAACATGGACGTTGTGTTGAATGGATGATTTCGAAATTTTGGGTTCGCTGGTTGCCTTTGGCATTAATGCCCTCTTCAAGCCTTGAATGGCGAAAGCTCCAACCTTTATCCTGAAACAGTGCCTACAGACATGGGTAAACGCCGTCGTGAGGTTGAGACTAAAGAATAATGCACCAGTGGGCACTTTTAGAGTTGATTGGCCTCTCATTCATTAGTTCAACCACCGCGTCAAAGGGTCCACTCTTCCGCGCCTTTGGTTGATATTGGAAACTTGCACTAGTTGTACTGAAGGTGTCCTTGTGACGAGTTAGTGTTGCCATTCGAGGTTTCAAGATGTAGTTAATGCTGATAGTTTATCAACGTAGAACAAAAACTTAAGAATCTCGAGAATCTCGCTGAGCACAGCATGCTTCTGGTTGTTTAACGGAAGGCGTTGGAAGTTTTTCAATCATATCCGTTGACAAAGAGATCTGGAACTTTTGATATGGTCAGAATGGTGGGATTTCCCTCGTCTTTTCAGAACATTGACCGAATAATGCATGAAAAATCGACACTCGAAGCTTCATTGGCGGAGAAATGCAGCATTAACGGTGTGACACAAAATCCTGAAGCTACACTGCATTTGAATGTTGCTCAAGACCAAGTTTCCTTGCCAAACAAGTAAGTTCTTTCCAGTTGTGTTGTTCTGAAAGCTTGCTTCCACTCTATTAACGGACCTATATCATATAAGAGACAGTCGTGTCTGTTTTTAGTTCGAAGTCTGTGGGCAGTGAGGAATGGGCTCGGTTTGAGTTGGAAAAACGCTTCGCACAGGCGATGTATAGTAATGCTGAACTTCGCGAAACACTAGACACATTGGAGCATATCAATATGCAGCTTCAGGTTTGATTCCGGATTTGTTGAGGTTCATGATTCTTACAAGGGAGGTCGTTCAGGGCGTGGTGCGCTTTTCGAAAACGGTTTTTTGCATATTGTAGGGGCTCATGCAAGGACCTGAAAAGTGTGCTTCATTTTCGCTGCGCGCTTCCAGGAAAGGTAAAAAACGAGTGAAAAGAAATCTTTGGAATCTGCTTCGTTCTGGGCCTCTATACGGCGTAGGTCACTTGCAACTTTGACCAGTTGCTGAGTGGGGGTCCTTATAAAGGGGCTATTTGAATCGAAAAATCGCCGCAAATGAGCTTCCA